TCGTATAAATCAACTTGGGAACCTACTACAAATTTAGCAAATGCACCTTTGATAGTTCAGGAGTTTGAACGTATGTGCAACAAGGACGTTGCATCTTAAAAGGAGTGAGGTTTGTAACCATCTTTAGTTAGTTGAATCTAAAGTAGAGGTTACTCTAAATATTGATGTAGATACTTTAGTGTGCACTAGTCATAGCTGCCACGTCAGCGATCCGCGCGCTTGGTAGGTACAAAGTGGATGTGTTAGTTGACAGTGTGCTTGTAGGTAAGGATTGAGTGTGTTAGTTGGAAGCGCCACGTCAGCGATCCGCGCGCTTGGTAGGTACAAAGTGGATGTGTTAGTTGACAGTGTGCTTGTAGGTAAGGATTGAGTGTGTTAGTTGGAAGCGCCACGTCAGCGATCCGTGTGCTTGTTAGGGTTATCCGCCACGTCATCCATCCACTAGAAGTGGGATGTATGGTGGAGATAAGATGTTATCTCCTTGTACTTGTTGGTGAGAGCTATATAAGGGAGAGTAGAACCATTGTTGGTATCTCTCATCTTCAGAGTTTGCGTTTCTATCTTCGAGTGAGCTTCTCTCTAAACCCTAGTGTTACAGCTACCAGCTACTGCCCGAAGCTGCCGTTCGCGGCCCGCACCTGCTGGAAGTATAGCCGGAGACCAGTTTTTATTCAAAAAATGCACCTACGGGAGAATCTTTGGAAAGTAGAGTAGATATCCGATGTCGTGGACCCGGTGGCGAGCCCGGAGGCAGGTCAAAAGCAAAACGAACGTCACACAATACAATATAGCATAAAACGTGCAAATTTTGAATATGCGTACAACCGTCTACAAGTCTTCCATATGTTGTTTGCAGACAAACCATTAGACGAGTTTGCAACTCCAATTACAACAACATCATCGTCGACTGTGTCTATGTTTCCGGTTGCACGAGTCTGCTCCCCTAATGACCCGAACCCACACTCCTTTTTCCCTTCATCTCCACGAATCTGCTCTCTAATGTCCCGAACCCACACTTGCACCTTTCTCTCTCAACTCTAAAGCTCTGATACCAATTTCTGCCCAGGATCCCTAAGGTAGTGAGAGTAACAAAGATAGGAGTAAGAACACACATGAGATTTGTTCACACATGTAGTGCAGGAATGCAAGCAAGTACTAAGACACTCAAATATGTGGTTCACTCTTCTCCTGGGCTACGTCCACAAAAGAGAATCACTTTGATGATAATGCAGCGGGCGGAGATTACAAACTCTTGACAAGGGAAATATATACTCTTCTTCAGACCAACTCTTGACGACTTAATATAGAGAGGTTACTCCAAATAAAGGAGTTAACCGCAACAAGATAAATCACATAAACAATAATAGTTTCACAACTTGCTTAATAATATCTAGATGCAATTTTTGTAAATCATGAATTGAGAAAAATCTTAATCATTCATAGACGTATTCATTTCATTAATTTGTTTTGGAAAACTCAATTTAGATTTCCAAACAAACTAAAGAAACATTAGTTTTTTTTAAAAATCTATCAATGTCAAAGTTGTATCATTTTCAAATTGATGGTCAAACAAAAAGAGCCAATCAAATGATAAATGATTTGCTACGCGCATTCACCTTACAAGAGCAAATGGAGTGTTACATTCTTTTGATTCTTATAAAATTTTACTAGAGTTTTGTTAATGAATCCATCATAATGTGTCCATTTTATCTTATGTACACTTCTTATATCAAAACTCCATCAAGTTTGATAAAGCTTTTGAAAAGAGAATTTCTTTTATCAAAGTAGCTACAATCAACAATTTTGTGTAGCATATTTACAAAGGACTACATCAAGCCAAGGAAAGATTGAGTATTGTTAGTAATCCACCAAAATAGCATGGAAATTTTCATCGATGAGAGTTGACTTTTTAAATAATGTATCATATTTGGTAATTTATAACAAACTTATCTCTTGTATGAACATCAAAATTTAACCCCCAAATTCATTGATCTTTTGTGATATTCAAACATGTTAGTGAGTTTTCATACAAGTTGAAATTTTTGTATTTTATACATCAAGATTGCAGACACAGGTATTACAATCAAAATACTTCACTAACCAACTAGCCCCAACTCTCCTATCAAACTTGATAGTTGATAATGAGTAAGATATTCAAGTAACAGATTTGAGTTTATGAATATCCCAAATTGAAGTATTTGATTCAATGAAAATAATCATATGAATCAACTTACTAACTAGCTAGAAATCTAACAAATTTATTTTTGATAATTCAAAAGTTTGAACAACAAGGATGTTTCACCTTAAACGAAATAAGATTTATAATCATTTTTTGTTAATTAAAAAATAAGCATAAATTATTCAATATGGAGATTGAATTGCATTTTAATAAAAATTTTCTAGTCAACATGTCAAAAATTTGTGTGCTTATATATATAAAGGAAATTAGTTAGGTAATAGTGATACATTAGCAATTTATATGCATAATATATATGTATGTGTTAGAAATCAAATTACAAAATTTTGAACGTTCTCATACGTTTAAAATGTCTTAAGTACAATTTTAAGACGTTTAGGGTGAGGAATGGAAATGTTTGTCTGCAACCTATTTTTTTGCTCACTCATATACTGCTTTGTTGGAAGACAAATTCTAAGCAAGTATTACTCTTACTCGTCTATATTACCATATATGATTGATTCGGCATTCATGTGATAAATTCATATTAGAAAGACAATAGTTTTGGTCTTATATCGAGATGATATGAAGCATTGGAAGCTTCTCTAACCCTAGCATTACTTACAAAAAAAAACGTGCATAATATCTTGAATGTACCAAGTTGAAGAAAATCAAAAGTCATTTGAGATTTCATACAAGTAAGCTCAACTATGTAATAACCTTATACTCCTTGCAAGAACTTGTATCACTAGAAATTCTCATAAGTGGAACTAACGACCTCCATTTGATGAAAAAGAAGTTCAATCTACAAGATTTGAACTGGTGGCATCGTAAGTTATAAGTACCGATTAGAGTTCGTTTGTTTACAGATAAAAGTAGTCTTAAATAAATATAGTGTTTAATTCAGACATTTTAAATGTGTATGTATTTCTTTTATTTAAATAGAGAGGCATTTATAATGATAGATGAATATTGAATGTAATAGATATTGTGTTAGTTAAGAACTACTCATCAACTGATGTATTTGTTGAATATATCAACCATGTCATCAATTCTTCATTATTATTATGGATGTTTAAATGATATTTAATCTCCTTGTATTTTTTGATATTATATATATAATACTTATTAATTTAATTAATTCTCATGTTCAACATTGTATTTTATTTACAAATGAACTGTTCTCTTATTTCTTAATTTACAATATGAACACAACAATGATCTATTCATAAGATAATGTAAAACTATAATATTTAATTGCTAAGTATTTTTATTACACACAATTAAAAAAAAAATTAGTTCAAATAGAGAATCAATCCATAAGTTTATATTGGCAGAATATTATTGGTTTTTTATCATATAGGATATATAATCTAAACTACTATTTAACATAAATCATACTTCTAATCATAACTTACTCAAAAATAAATCATAATAATCATAATTTTTAACTAAAAATTATTTCATGAATCTCACACATGTTGAAATAATCACAAGTTTTGAACAAAATCTACTTGCAAAATGTAACTTTGTATTTATGAACATTTGTTCCATTAAAAATTAAAGTAATATTTAAAATTTTAAATTATGAAAAAAAAATTATAAAGATTTATCACATGATGAAGTTTCTCTTAAATTTATTTTGGAACTCTTCATTTTGACAAAATAGATGCTGGAAATTTTTCTTTCATTTCTTCAAATAACTTTCCTATAATTCATTTTAAAGATTTTTTAAATATTTTTTGATAGATTTCAAATCTATATCATGTATTTTTTAATAGATGTAATTTAAATGAATTATAATTTTAATGAACTAAAACTTATAAAATTCTGACGTTTTCATATTTTGCCTCTAACAGTTTAAACTTTTAATGTTGAGTTTTAACCATATGTGAATATTTTTTTAAGTAAATGAAAATTTGAAAATGATTAATGAAAACATCAAAAAATATTATAGATTTATTTCATAATTTTTCAATCAGAAGTGGTAGTTTATTACTCAATTAATTAAAATATTAGTAAATAATTATCAACAAGAAAAAATGTTACGAAATTACGTTTATACGTTGTAATTATGTTTTAATATTGTGTTACAAATGAAGTAATATCAAATTTTATGATGATGTTAATTTATGAACAATTATTTAAATTTTTTAGAAAGATTTTACATTTGAAAATTAAAGATTGAAAGTAAAATTGAGATTGGTACTAAAATAAAATTTATTTAATGTAGAATATAAATTATTTATTCTTGCAATTAATTTTGTATCAAATCGAAAATTTATCTATTTTTTTTCTATTAAAAGATGAAAAGGAATAAATTTTTGTTCACATAGATTTCTTTGCGATTGAAGTAATTGTACTTATATTTCTAAAGATGTACTTTTATTTTGTGTGTGAAAAAATATATGTTATTAAGTTTACAATATATATGAAAGATTGGTGTACTTTAAATTTTATTTGGATTTATTTATCAAAAATTTATAGTGTTGAAAATACGATATTTTGTTTACATTTTGAGGTGAATTTATGTATTTAATTATTATGATTTAGATAAAAAAAGTAATAAAGACAAAAATGTTATTAACTTATATTTGAAAGTTTAATTGTTTTTGTTAATATGTATACCCTCTTCATTTTTTTCTAAAAAAATATTTTGCATCAATTATCAAATCTATATTTTAAAATAATGAAAATTTATATTGTAATTTTCAACATATTATTTCTATATTGATAAATTTGAGTAATGTAAGTAAAAATTTAAAGTTTATAAATCATTATTGAAGTACAAGTGCTGTAGTAAAAAGTTTTAGAAATTGTGTGAACAAATTCCATGTAGACAAAAGGTATACACTGTTCTTGATGGCCAGTGTTTTCTTCCCTTACTGCACTTTCAACCACTTGAACCTTAAGAGGGAATCAAGTCTCAGAAATTAACCGCCACAGACTCATTGACCTTCTCGATTGGCTGCGATGATCAGACTAATCACATCTACGCACACATTGTTTTACAAAATGCTAACCCTATGCAGCTTCAACATCTGCACGAGATTATGGCTGATAGATGGGCCTACAGATTTAAAATTGTTGACAATGTACAGACTGCAAGTCGCATGGCTCTATGAGAGAGAGAGAGAGATAGAAAGCCCTAGTTAGCCTCCACAAAAGCTCTCGACTTTTCCGCAATTTAAAGTGGCAAGGCAAGAGGTACGGATGCAAGATTGTACGTCCATGGGATAGCCGATTTTTCCCATTTGACAGTCCCTGGCCCCTACTAAAATCAAGATCCACCTTCAGATTTCTGTACTCTATAAAGTACATGTACAAAATAAAATCTTCATGTCGTCAAGAGCTTATGCGAAGCTTAGTTGAGAGGGAATTATGTTTCTCACCAGCGTCTACTTCCTTTTTACGAAGGGTAACGATGTTGTTTCATGTACATGTACAAGTTGTGAAACAGATGAATCAATCAGTCCCTGATAACTTCTCCAAGTAATAACTGATGAAATAGGCAGCAAGGGCTGCCAGACCTCCGTTGCCCAGAACAGTGAAAACTGAATTCAGATACTTCTCCCCTGATATCTTTGCCTTGCAGACGCCGAGAAGAACCAACGTCAGGGCCGTGACGAGACAGGCGACACCGAATTTCACGTAGATGCTATCCGTAATCGGATTTAGCACTGCAAATGAAAGAAGTGGAGTACATCCAAAAGCGAGGAATGAAAAGAAGGTGACGAGTCCATTTTTTACAGCACTCTCCTCTTCATCTGGAGGGAGTAGGCCATCGTCCATTGTCATCTTAGCTTTGGTGAAGACGTTGCCGTACTTGGTAAAAATGGTAACCACCTACATTATCCAAAACAATAGATAAATAAAGAATAAAACTCTGTTCTTTTCTGTCCTGCATAACAAACTCAAGCTGAAAATCAAACATTGCCAGTGGCTAGTGGCAAGTGGCAAGTCAAACTGCAAAAAAACCTCCTTATGTCAGAAGTGTGCATAAAGCGTAAAAAAAATTGATGACGAGCTTAATCGAAGATAGTTTGTGGAAGAAATCGAATGAAAGGAGTGGGCCTTACTTGCTCAGCATCACTACGCTCCATCCCATGCTCCACGTATATATTGACCAAGTTCATAACCTGTTGTTCCATGTTCCTTCTAAACTCCCAGTCTGATATTTCCTTCTGTGTGGCTGCGTAGCTCTTCTCAGTCGTGGAGGACAAGTAGTCTCCAAAGCCCATGGATATTCCATCGGCTATCAGATTCGCACAGCCCAGTACAAGCACGGCCCCTGTACAACCAACCATATGAATGCACCGGGAATTTAGCATCGCAACTATTCCGACCACAGACACTACACAGTATGAACGTTTCGTACACAATATCCGTCATATCAAATTTACAGCCCTGAGAATAGTTGGAAATACCTTGGAACCTATCAATTACACTGTATAGAGGATTATCAATCACAAAACTGAATGGAATCCTCAGCCTCAAGATGTGTACATTCAAACATGGACGAGAATGCTGGTGACAAGAATTCATGCGATTTAGTTCCCGTTTAACATTCACTCACACTAAAATTTCCTCGTCGCTGGATCTTTCTCTTTCCTCGATGTGGAAATGACATACAAAAGGAAACTTCAGAGCGCTCAGTAGTAGGAGTCTACGACAATAGTGTAATGTGCACGAACACGTCTTGGTTTGTAAAATTTCAAGTGTCTTCTCAGCCTGATATTCTTTCGATGATCACAACGCACAAAACAAAATTCTGTAGGCAGAGAAGGTACCTGAACTGTACTGTCCACCAGAAACAGACGCAACCAGAGCGAAAGTCGTCACAATAGCATCAAGTCCTCCATAAACCATGCTCTTGATATACTCTCCTCCCCAAGGTGACTCGTCTGGCCTATCATCGTTTGCTGCGTCCAAATCAATGTGGCTACCAGAAACTGTTCCTTCTGCGAACCGAACATGTCTCGGATTCTCTGGATCGAGCAGTGGATCCGACATCCCACTCCTATTATGATGGAGAGAAGAATGACGAAATTTGCCACTGCCACCCTCGTGTCGCCAACTCCTTGTCCTCGGAATGTCCATTATGTCTCTTTCAGCTCCGGCCAGCTTTACTTCAGTTCAGTTCTGCGCAGAAGCAAAAATGTAAGTACTAAACATCATGGCGAACTTCAAAACGGTGATTTCTCATCATCAGAATTATGAATATGTTTTGTATTGAACTCTCCTTCTCCTGCTCCTGCTGGGTGACAATGACAGCTTCACGGGTGAACCCCGATGGATCTACTCTTCCTTACAAAACTTCACACATATAGTCTAAACCCCGTATAGAAATATCTTGCTCTTCTCGCAGTGTGCAACATTGTCAGTAGCCCTGTCTACGTGGGAGGTACAAACTTTGCAAAAACATTCATTCTGTAATACTATTCCATACGCAAAAGTCCTAACATAGATGGAAAGTAAGGAAAGTGACACAGATACATTAATTGGATTCTTTTGCGGCGAACTGTTATATTCTTGACAAAGAACATTCATTCCATTGCAAAAGCTGAACTGTACAAACAGAGTCCACGAAGAGAAGAGGAAGCTCACTTTCTGAAAACTTAGCAAGGATCGCCCTTTTGATCTCTGCTGCGCTGAGGAGCAGTATGTAACACGGTCAGTGGACAATCTAGAGGCAGCAATGACACAACATGTGCTCGCCTACGGCCCACAAGCTCAGTCAGTACGAGAAAAGACAGACAACAGTTTCGGTGCACAGAACCGGCAGAAGGAAAGCACAGCGGCACTGCCAATCAGCAGAACCAGAAATAGAAAGAAAATACGAAATGCATAGGAACTGAAGTTGCTGAAGCAGCAGATATGAGCCCCACCTTCTGAGACCGGGCATCTGGTTCATGATTCGCAATGCAGCGACGTAGGTGGCACTCAGCAAAAATGCACGAGACTCGACACTCGAACGGCGTGCATGCAGATACTGAGATCTGCCAGATGGACTAATCAGCACTAGGCCACGGGACTCGAGCTCGGCTCCGGCTTACAAAGAGCCATCTGGCAGGGGAAACGAAGGTGAAGCTCTCGGCGGCTGTCTGCCTCGGCGTGCAATTTTCGGCCCCTGGGGCAGCTCTCGGCTGGACCCACCTGCGGCAGGTTTTTCTCCTCTCCTCGTGTTGAGACAACCTCGGCTCATAACGTAGAACGTTGATGTTCAATCGTTCAATAGACCAGTGGTGTCGAAACATGTAATGTGATCCCGTACATACGCTGCTTGCTTTACTTACTAGATCTGGATGGTCACTGAACTCTGAATGTCGTCATGGTCATCGAGCGGAAGCATCCACTTGTCAAGTTTGCACTTGGCAACGTTTCCAGTCAAAGTTCATGTGGTTGCTCAATTTTGTGAGTTATCATGATTACCTTCGTGCCAGGGCAAACAGGACATTCAGTTGGACATCCAAAAGGAAACAATGAGCGCTGTAAAGCTCTTCCTCAGTTAGTGCCTTCGAGAATGAAGGAGTTGTTAGAGGTTCGACAACGCAAACGGGCTGATCCGTGTTACAGTTGATGGACAGGCACCTGTACCCAGAACTTTGTGCTATGCGACTGGAGATACAGGTCTCATCCGGAGAGTTCTTCGGTCCACCATCTACCTTTATTTATCGATGATCAACACAACAAAAAGGCGTTGAAGTACTAGTAAAGCTTTCCCTGGTTTGAACAAAGTACATCAGCGCAGAGTTGAAGGTTGGCGAAGTTCGATTCAGTTATCCAGATGTCCATGTCGCGTTCAATAGCAGAAAATTTGAAGACGTCGAACATCTACGTCAGATGAAGTGAACAGGTGACTAGGCGAAAGCAGGAGCCTTCTTATTGGTGGACACTTTGAAAATACACACTGTACGACGGGTGATGACTTTCCAGCATGTCCGAGAGATGGAAGTGTCGTCTTCTGTTCTGTCCCTGTCTCATTGCTTGCCATTAGCATGTTCCCCGTACCCTGGCATGCTCAGCAGGCTTTGGCACAGGACCCACACAGCACAACATGGCCATCGTGAGCTCTTTGAGATTTGATAGACATCTTTTCTTCAGTTCTAACGCCGCCGGTATCCGCAGGTACAAAAAGAAGGTGTCTTTTCACAATTTTTTCCGTGTTTGTTGCGATTATTCCCAAGTCCAAGGAAGAAAACGATTTAGTGAGAAACAAAAACATGGGGGAGAAGAAAATCAACAGCAGGACTGATTCCTCACCATGAGTAATTCAGATGTCTTCGTGTGAGAGAGATACAAAAGACCTAAACGTGAGGATCAAATTTGCACATGGTTTGAAAACAAGGTCATGAAAACTTCTGGGCTTAACCACGAGGTCTAAATTTGAGAAATTTGAGCTTCTTCACAGCGATACCAAAACTGATTGTAAACAGCAGATTCCATCACGTTGCACGCACGAGAACGTTCAATCTTCTATGGTCCTAGATATTATCCTCTCATTTCGGTAGAGACTTTGAGGTCAGGACCTTCTTTCCAACATTCGTCTCCATAATCTCTAATGTACGCAAGAGTATTGGAAAAAAAAAAACAACGATATCTAACGTGCTCCATGTGGAGCATATCACTAGCGCTATATTTGCTCTACCGTAGCATCGCTTCTATTCACGTGATCTCATACTTGAGAGGATATCGTCCCTTTATCGCGCATGTCAGGATTGACCACGTTTCAGCCCACCTTACAGTCTCATTAGCTGCAACAAAGATCACTGTCTTGAGTCACAAAAATGTTTATAATCTTCACACGGGAGACATACTCAACGTCATTTCATTCAAATACACTAGAAAAGCTCCAAGATCTAATCTAAAAGACATTACAGGTGTATACTCGTTTCCCTACTAAAAAATCCCGTTTTCCCCACATTCTCAATCTCTCCATAGTAGCACCGCTCAGCCAAGAAACGGCCATGTTGTCTACGGGGTGCGGTGGTGGTGTCTGTAGTCTTCAGGTATAACAGGCGCTTACAATGTGTACGGAAACATGATATATTCGTATATATATTTATGCATAAAACAACAATGTCCTTGTCTGTAGATCGGATATTACAGTCCAATAAAAGCAATGTAGAATTCAAAGAAGTGACTACTAACGAGGTGAGAAAGGTGCTGGGACAATGACTCCAACAAAAGAAGAACATAGAATGATACGGAGAATATATACTTACAGCAAAATTGTGAATAGGGCCTTCAGGCCAATCTCTGAAAGGGCAGCCCGCTACATCTTGGTGCCGAATTCGGTGACGCATGCCATTCTCAGCTAATCCAGCGATAAATTCCTCACCCACTGCGAAAATGGTTCACCTTTGCACACAAAACAGCCTGGGTTCAAACTGTTGACCCAGAACGGAGATTTAAGGGCACCAAGCTTTTCCTGAACTGCTTGCTTCACAGTTGAGCATCCTGGGACCTTACTTCCTTTGCCCCAGCCAGTTATGATAAACACCTGATCTGGTACAACGTTGGTTTTGAGCATTGTATCTCTGAAGCTGGCTAACGTCCTGGTGAGAGCAACCAAGGAGGTACCAACAGACATGGAGTGGAAGTCCATGAACCAGAGATTGGGACTCTGCCGCATGGTGACAGCTTGAGGATAATAGTTGTTTTCTAAAGCGTAATCCCAAAGATGACCTGCTTCCACATTCCGATTCAGGTTATGTAGAAACATGATAAGTGCATCATTGAACATAACTTTGCTCTCCGTTTCTTCTCCTTGCAAGGAGTCGAAGAAACGCTTGCATTCTGCGCTAATGTCCTCGAGCTCGCCTCCAAGAAGCTTGTTCACAAAGGCGTAGGATGGATGTTTCACCTTCGCGAGTACACTCAGCAAAGCATCAACTTGTTCCTGATGCTCGCAATCCGAACAATGCTGCAACAGTATCGCAGTCAAACTACAGTCGATGGGTATGACGAGTGAGGCCATATCTCTGAAAAGTAATAGCACCTCATCATACATGTGCACTCGTAAGTATGTGGATATCAAGTTTCTGATAGTGACAATGTCTGGTACCACCCCAGAATCTGATAACATCTTGTGCCAGTATGTCACCTTCTCAATATTGCCTACCTTGCCCCACATATCAATCAATATGTTGTAGGCTGGGAGCCTGACATCATGGCCACATTCCTTCATCTTTGTAAACATATTCTCAGCATCTTCGTACAGCCCAGCTTTGCCCAGGACCTCCATCAATGTGATGAAAGTTCCTGAATCTGGCTGCAGACCAGCAGACAGCAGGTTCCTGTAACTTTCCAAGCTAAGATCTGGATTTCCTGCCTTAGAGTACATGTCGATGAGAGTGTTGTAAGTTACTATATTCGGCTCACAACCTCGTTGTTGCATTTCGGTAAAGATTTCCTGAGCAGCTGTCGGATTGCCAGATTTGCCTAGGCAATGGATCAAAGCATTGTAGGTGAACACGTTTGGTTCCAAACCTGCCTCCTGCATTTCATGATAAAAGTCCATAGCTTTGTCGTAATGCCCACATTTCCCACATATGTCTATCATCCTTGAATAGCATATAACATCCAAGGGGTAACCCATCTCCTGCATTTGTAGGAAAAGATCCAGCGCTGCAGTAAAGTTTCCTACTTTGCCGAAACAGTCAACCATGGCAATCAAAATGACAGAGTTGGGTTGCAGACCAGCACGTTGCACTTCCTCAAAAAGTTGCAAACAGCTCTCCAGCAGGCCCAACTTCGCGTGATGGCATATCAGAATGCCGTATGTCTGCACATCAGGTGCACGGCGGGATGCCTTCATCTCCCGGAAGAGATCAACAGCTGCTGGCAAGTTTCCAGCCCTTCCATAGCAGTCGATCATAGAATTGTAATTTACTGTGTTTGTCTGCACGCCCACCGCCTTCATTTCATTGAACAGTTCCACAGCTTTTTGAAAGAATCCTGCCTTCGAATGAATATCTATGATTGTCGTGTAGGCCACGGAATCAGGTCGATAGCCTCTTGCCTTCAAGTAATCAAAGAGCCTGCTAGCTCCTACAACGTCACCCGCTTTGCCAAGACAGTCCATGACTGCACACAACGTGACAAGATCGGGCTTTATTCCAGCCCGCAACATTTCTCTGTACAACTCAAAAGCTTGTTCGAATAATCCTGCCTTTGCATGTGCATCAATCATGTTTGTGTATATGAAAACATCAGGTTTACAACCCGATGCCTTCAAGTCACCAAACAGTGCAATTGCGGCACTCAAATTCCCAGCCCTGCCGAGACAGTTTATCATCAGGCTGTATGACATGACGCTCGGCTGGAGACCCTCCTTCCGCATTCTGTTGAACAACTCCCAAGCTTCGTCCACTGCACCGGTCCTTGCAAAGATATTCATAACGACGACATAGGTGACATGGTTCGGCTTGCAACCAACTGCCTGCATGTGCTGAAACGCATCCAAAGCATCTTGGTAGCGGTTTGCAGCACTGAAGCCCTTGACCAGAATCGTGTATGTCACAACATCCGGGCTGCAGCCAGCAACATACATTTCTTCCATCAAACCTTGCGCTGCATCGAAATCCTTCGCGAGAGTCAATAAACGGATCATGACGTTGTAGGTAAAGGAATTATGCTGGTAATCTGTCTGTGAAGTGGCCCACTGAAAAAATTCCCGTGCGAGAGTCACATCTGTTTGTCGCTTGAGAATCTCACTGACATGGAACGGATCCAGCTTGATGCCCATCTGTGAAAGGGAGGTCAAGCTATCGGCACGGTTCAAAATTCGGCAAACATGATCTACAAGAACCTGCCCTCTGCCCAACTGAGGAGGCCTACCTGCTCTCTCTCTACCTTCTGCAGGCCTGTATCTAGTAGGTGATCCCCTGCGCATTCTTTCGGCATTCCGCTTAATCACAGGGACCCCATTCAGTGCAGCTGACGAAACTGTGGAAAAGTGCGCACTTTTTCTTTCAAAACCACTTGATCCATTGGTAGAAAGTCCGGAGCTGGAGGACACATTTGATACTTGTCCCGGCATCAAAGAAGCCAACGCATACCTAATGGCTAAAATGCTCTTCACGTCAGACAGACAAAATTCTGGTTTGCCAGATGAAGCTCCTTTCCGCTTCCAATTCTGCCCACAATCCGTGACACCATTGATGTCATCCTGGGTGTCATCGAAAGGAAGACATTTAGTTTCTGGAGAATTCTGAGGATCCACAATAAAAGGGTGATCTCCATGAGCAGTTTCGAAGTCGAACAATCTTACAGCCAACAGTCTGTGTAGTCTTTCAGATCGAATAACTGCTCGCCTGGATGGATCCCGAAGGAGCATCTGCAACAGCCCCATGGCTCGCTGGCCTCTTCCTCCTGAATCTCCAGCAACTGAGGTACCTAAACTCAGCTAATCCTACACATGTACGCTTTGTTTCCCCCATTCATCCCCATTCCTACTCCTGCCAATCACGTCCGATCACAAACCCCTGTTCCATGGAGCGCAAGTTCACCTCTGCGGAAAATTCTCAACTGCAATTCAATATAGTTCTACATAGTCGCAGCTTCAATCCCATTATTCCCAAACTATCATTTCGGACTTTGTAGGAACCTTAACTTAATCCACATCACAATCCTCCCTTGCCTTCAGGTAAATCCACTCGCAAATCCAACCTCCAATCTGCTTCCGGGATCCCGATTAATTCCTGTATGGCCTTCATCACAGTCTCCAACCGTATGTACTGCTGATTCGTCTCCAACTTCCTGCATCAAAAAATAAACAAAATCTTCTTCAATCCACCGCTTTTTCATCCTACGAACTTAAGAATTTTCCATAGCAAGTAATCCAGTGTTTCATCAATGGTACAACTTCTCACAACCATGAAGACCGAAACATCGAGAGAGAACGCGAATTCGCTCCCAGTTCACAACCTCACCCTGATTACGCGCATTCCGGGCACACTCGTGCCCCTCATCAGCATCCCCTATTCTCGTGTCTGACGTGACCACAAACACTGCCAGCCCCGGAACGAAAGCGTTGCTGCACTTGGACTTGGACTTGACAGCATCTTCCTGCACTGCCCTCCACACCAACTCTTCGCTGCGTCCCTTGATTTGGACGACAATTGCCACTAGGGTTTAGGGTTCTCGACTAGCTTTGCAGATTCCGACATTTTAAGTACAAGCGGGACGCTAAGTGGACAACATACTGTGGTTGACCAAACCGTGTACTTTCATGTGGCACTGCGAACGAACTGCGCACTTCTACGGCGTAAAATCGGGACGGACGAGAAGACGGCGCAGAACAGCCTTTCACTTCGCACAACCAACTGTGGTAGACGAGACCGACCACGTCTCTTCCGGTGAAGTCAAGTTAGTTGATGCGAACTGGATGCTATGTTTTTGTTTGGAGATCATCAGCTCTAGCTGATGACAATATCACAATCGTGATATTATCGGGGTCTAGCTGGTCGTGTTCGTTTTCGGTTGATGGGCTCTTCCCATATGCAATCTCTGTTCATTCGCAAATAAATGTACAGCGAAGAGGCTCTCTGATAACGACCTCAACTCAAAGGCAGAGCACCGTCTCCACCAATGAAGTGTGTTTGGCAACTTTTCACTTTCGCATTTTTGCACTAAGAACCAATTATCATTTTCTACTATGGCCCGTTCACTCCCCGAATGCGAGGAATTCTGTCAACTCAAATTTCATTGACTCCCAGACACTAATGGTAAAGGTTCATCTATGGCAAGGACCTGATTAGATTTATCAAGCTAAGATATTTGAGGTAAAACCCTGTAAATGGCATAAAGATTAGAAACACCACCGACAGATTCACGGATGAAACGAAAGGGGAAGGTTGTGGCTAGCCCCAATAGCATTGTAATGAAACTATAATCTTTAAACAAGTACATAGGCCGTCCACGAACCACGTGAACTTAGTAAGAAGCATAGCCTAATCTAATTAAGCTTCGGCCAATGCTCTATGTGAAAGTTTGATACTGCTGGTTGAAACATACTACACCATGTTGAGTAACGTAATAACTTTTTTTCCTTACAATTGCCATAAGAGAATTTACTTTCATTAATAGACTTGTTGAAATTGTCATCATTAGTTCTGAGACACAAGAAATAAAAATTATAATTTTCTGAATATCCATACAACATCAACTAAATATATGGTTGATGCTTCTGCATTTGCGGCACCTATGACCTTGGATAATCTTTCTCCATGTAATTGTATCACATGTAAGTTTTGTAAACACAATGTCTTCAAATTTTCACGACGAAGTGAAAGATCTCTAGAACTAAAAAGAATGATAATATACACTAGGTTAATGTATATAGCAACTTGTACTTGTTCATTCAGGTAATTTTCAAAAAAACATTGTGGCTTGAACGTATCTTCTAGATGTGTTCCGATATGAATTGCCCCAGTAATTACCAAAAAACGAGAGCCATCACGAGATACAGATTTACCATGAAATTCCACTTATTGTGAAAGATACTATCCGACTTGCAAGAATGCAAGAATAAACTCAAGGTTCAAGTGATTCTTTTGTTTCAAATTGTTTCAAATACACTAATGTTTCTGTTCATGAAATCTACCCCCTGTTAAAATTCATATTTTTCACATACTGTAATCACCATTCCTGCTCATGACAAACATTTAAGTTTCTTTCTTATGAATCTAACTTCGACTTAGTCAACGATTTATCCATTTTTCTGACACCCTCAACAAAAACGATAAGTCAAATTGAGGTTCAATCATGTTTTATAACATCAGATCATTAAATCATTGAACCAATAGTCTTAAACGAGGTTGAGGTGGGGATCGGGGACGGGAGGATGGTGATTCCGGAGGGGCAGGTGCGGGATCCAAATGTGCACATTCCTCGTCTGTTTGCTTTGCAATGTGACCCCGTGTCGCCGCAGTTTTAGCAGTCGCAATCTTCGTGGGCCCGCTTCTCTCCCGTCTGCACGTAAGTTTCCTCCCCTGGGGCTGTTGGTCATCGCAATTGCTGTCGTCGCGGTTCAGTGCAACTTCGCCATATCTTCAGTTGTGCCAGTGAATTTGTCTCGGTTTCTTGCCCTGACCAGCGATTGATATCGAAAAAAGTGAAAGTACTTCAGCCCCTCCTGCTGCGTCTTCCTTTCTTCTGTGAAATCGAGAAGGTTTTGCACCTCGTCTCTTGAATTTCCACGTTAGGTCATACTGTGGTTTGATTGGATTGCGTGTGGATTCCAGGAAGGATGATAGATTTCGGGAGAGCTTTTTGTTGAACCATTCTTATGTCCTGTCCTTCCTTGTCGTGCAATTCACCTCGTTCGGGAGCCGTGGGAGTACTTCCGATTTAGTTTTTTTTCCCGTATCTCGTTTTTTTCTGCACTTATTTGCGGCGGAGGTCGTTTCATGTCATTCCTTCGTCCGTGATTTAGTTCGTGTCCATGTCCGTTTTATGCTTGTCAGTCATTACCTTCAAATTCGATCCTTCTGATCAATTAAGAAGCTGGTTTCAGTACTGCTTCTTGGATCCTACTGATTCTGAATACTAATAAAAAATTTGATTTGGAGTTTTCTCCAGGCTTGGAGTGCAAGGTTATGAAAGCGTGACAAGCGGGAATCTTTTTGCCTCTAGACAGGCAATGTGGAAGGTTGCAGTGCGCCAGCTTGCTCGAAATCAGCGTCAGCGCAGTGACTTGGGCTCATACGAACGTGGTCTCTTGAAATTCTTTTCCAGCGGGAGAGAAAGTTGTTCGATTACTGCCACAGGACCGGACTTGGCCACGAGAAGCGCGACGTTTGTGACTGCCACATGGGGCATCCTCCCCAAAAGTGTCGATGTGCTGCCAAGTCCCTTAGCAGTTAAAAGGGATGGCTTCATCAATCATGAATTTTCCACATGGTCTAGGGTGTCACAGATGTGCATGTCCACTGCAGCCGTTGAAGATTCGGAATCATCAAATGAAGGAATCGTCATCACTGAGAGCTGTGTCAAGGTATACACTGATGGCCATGATGGTCGCACTAGACACGAATTCATATTCTCTTGTTTGTAGGATTAGGACATGGATATCTACTTTATATTTGTTTTCCGGACATTGTGTCTTTAATTTCGTAAGTTCTTTTGACGCTGAAAATTAAATAAGTCTGCTTAATCGGGCGGCTCGCCGTCCTGCTGAAAGTGTTGATTTTGTTCCTTTTAGGATATTTTGTGGGTTCTTTATTGAGGTGGTTAATCTGCTTGTAGAGACTGAGAGAAATTCAGCAAGAAGAAGGACCTGACGGTCAAAAGAAGATGCTGCGGTTGAGTGTTGATGGTGGCGGTTGTTCAGGTTTCCTTTACAATTTTAGCCTCGACGACAGCCTGAAGCCTGATGACAGGTATGTGGAGCGAGAAAGTTAATAGTTTTGTGCTTCAAATTGCAAGGCTGAATGAAAGTAGGTAATACTGCCCTGGAACTATCGCTGATCATATTGTTTTTTCTCCAGGTTGTTTGAGAAGGATGGCGCAAAAGTTGTGGTGGATGAAGTGTCACTGTCTTTTGTAAAAGGGGCAGTTGTGGATTTTTCGGAAGAATTAATACGAGCTTCTTTTACGGTGATTTTCGAACCTTCTTTTCAAGTTCAGAGCTTCTTCACGTACATGTCTGAACTCCAAGTTGATAAGCCTTGTGGTCTAGCTAACACGGTTGCTCCGTGGCAGGTGGCATCAAATCCGAATGCTGAAAGTGGTTGCGGGTGTGGGGCATCTTTCACAGCAAAATAGCCACAACCTGTTTTGCAGTGCGATCAAACTTATTTATACAGGAGTAAGATGTAGAGACGGATTGCGCCTAATTATGCTCCTCTACACTGAAGCGAGGTTTCTGAGCTGGCGAGAAGAGCACAAATTTGCAGACCTTGTAGATTACATACATCTCCACGTCAGTAACATTTTGCATTCTACCATTTGAACCATTTCTTTAATTGCTTATGACCTAAGGTCATCAGTGTAAAGTGTACAGCCACTTAAGTGAGCTTGGGTCCGCTCACATTCGGACTTTTCTGCTAGATAATTTTGTAGTAGTGTCTGATCTGATGAGTGTATATTATTCCTAATATTTCAGTTATATGCCTATCAGAAACTTTCAGTTTGAGGATGTTTGCCTCCACTTGTTCATCTCGTCATTTAAAAAACAGTGATAAGTCCGGCTAAAACATAAGCAGATGACAACATACTGTATCACAGAACCCAGAGACCTATGGCCGAAAGATATCAAATGAACGGGAATTTGGTCGTTACAGCTTGGTGGCACTCGCGGGAAGATAGAAAGATTGAAGCCACAGACCTGATCGCAGTTTGTTTTGGAATGACTTCTTATGGTGCTGATGGCTTCGTATAGCCTAGGGTTATTCCCTCCTACAAAAAGTTTGTCATTTGGAGTACCTTGGCCGAGTGTATCAACTTGAGGTAATCGAGCTCTTTTGTTGCCGTCATTTACTTCACTCTTGATTCAGTCTCAGCACCTCAAATACAAGCCCACTGAGTTGATTGAATAGATTACATGTTATGCTTCTGCCTTTATAATCTATTGCTCAATTGTCATGAGTAGATGAGTTTGACACCTCAAATGAGATGCCTGACCACCGATTGGCCGGTGGCTTTAGAAGGCTGGAAGTGGATGGCTTGGTGCTAGCTAAGTACAACAGTTTGTTTCTTTCTGGTTAAGATGCAAACTTTCTGAATGGCTTTCGATCTTCACGAGAGTGCGGTGTATCTGCCTGTATGGATTTCAATTCGAATCGAGGTCTGTGAACAGCTTCTGTTGGAAGTGATGGAGCACAGCTTTGCGAGCAGATCGAGATTCTATGATGGTTATTGCCAGCGGCTTTCCTGTTAGTCAAGAAATCGTTTTATCATTGCTTGCGGCTCACGTTGGGACAAAGGATTTCCAGTGTCATCATTGGTTTGAATATGCTTTTGACACGGCTGCAGGTTTGCCAAAACTCGTGTCTAGAAGAAAAAGAACGTGCTTGTAGAATCTGGTCACTACGACGCTGTAAGTTGTTTTACAGCCAACTTTTCGCTGTTAGCTTATGCTCCCTGGTTGCTGCTAGCACGTTCGTGTAAACCATCACGATGTTGTTCGAGGAACTTATGGTATGATAGAAAGAACCCCCGTAATCAAGTATTTTGTACTGACCAATTTTAAAGATAGCTTCTTATAGCAGTCACAGTTGTTGAAAGATGATACTCTCAAAGATCCAAGAATGTAACTCCGAGAAGCAATTCGTCCACGTGAAGCAAGCTAATACAATATCATTAGCTTGTGACACCGGGTAGGAATCTACTGAAGACCTTGGGTATAAACAGTTAACATCGACCAGAGCCTAGTGTCAACACAGTACAAGAGTCACATATGGATGATAGTTGACGTTATGGGCAGATTCCCATCTTTTGTACAGGATAGAGTTAGTTGTGCCTTAGCACGAACACGGAACGCACAATCACGGCAAAGAACGCCATGGAAGTCCAAAGTAGCCTATCGGTGTTCTCGGCTCCAAAAGCGTAGATCAAATTGGAGCTATCTGTATGATTGTCCGGAAGAGCCGTGTGTGGGAAACAGTAATAAGTTTTCCGAACACTAACTCTTAAAACACAGTCCTCTCTTTCGGTAATCTCAGGCGTAAATGCTGTTTTTGTTTTCAAGCAGCGGATTAGTTCGGCAAAACTTCCTTTTCATCCACAACACCGGGGTCTACAACTTTTACCGTGGGATTGATCCGTGACTGGGTTGATAGCATAATACATCGAATGCACCTGAATTTACATTTAGGCCGTCGCATATCACAACAGCTTACGTTCAACTTAAAACCTTGAGCGTCACCAAGCTTGTCCAGAATGCGAAGTGTCTCGCAACGAGCCTTAGCTGTTCTCTGCATGAGGTAAAAACCAAGTGACAGGATACTATGCCTGGATATCATTACTATGAGTTCGGACATTGCGCAGCATCATGGTAAAGGTCTTCTCGTGCTTTAAGTGCAAGTGCAGATGCTTATCCAATTCTTACGTCCAACTATGGCGGACGAATCTGCCGCTAAAATGAGCTGCTATTAATGGCGCAGAGCATTGCCTGTCATTTACATGACTTCGCATGCAGTTTTCCTCGAGATAGTTCAGTGCATGTTCATTGCGTGACTGGGGGCTTCCGACTCATAAGGTATGTCTGAAATCTGTCGCAGTTGAAAACAGGCTTTGAGTGTCGATGAACCCTCAGAAATCATTTGGAGCATGTTGCCGAAACGTGTTCCTGTGACCAAATGTCTTGAAGCACCTTACTTTTAGAAATTTGTGAAACTTGGAAAGGTATGAAATCAGGCTCAGATCCTTTTACTTTAGCAGATAAGGTTTCTTTTCTTTCTATAAACCTATAGGAGCTGAGCGACCAGGGATAAAAAGATATTTTGATATCAGTTCAATCTTGCATGTATCTTGATCAATGAGAAAGCAAGTACCTCTTTATGATGGCTACAAAAAAATAAAAATCTTTTGCTTTATCAATGAGCACATACGGAATTAAACGAGAATAAGATATGGAAAAGCATTGAGCAAAAGGCTCATATTTATTGATATTTTACCTCGTATGGAGGTTTAAAGAGCCGTATCGTCCGAACTAGTTGCTGTTTGCTTCAGAACATCCTCCGGAAAGCGAGCAATGCTTTGGCTTCTTGTAACCAATGACACAAAACATAATATGGTCAAAACCACTTCCGAGATATAAAGTTCATTTATAACAACCAAATCCAATGATTCGATTTTCATGATGTAGACATTAGAAAGACACCAGCTGGTGCACCAGCCTTTGGAACCTTAACCAAAGTTGTCCACTCTTTCCTGCTATGGCGCAAATGAAACCGGGACCTTTTCGATCACATGCACTTCTTTGCAGGTTCAAACCCTCTGACCCCGCAGGGAGAAGCATCTGAATCCCTCGAACATTACTCGGCCGATAAATGATCATTCCGAGCCAACCCACACCAAGTTTTTTTAACCCACAACATAAATAATATTATTTCTTTATTTATTTGAGTGACCAGATTCACGGGAAAGAAATTGGGCGAAAGTACGACCACAGAGACTCGTACCGAACAGATGATGCCCACATTACGCGCATGACTCCAGATTATAGGCACATTGAACCTCTTCCATCCCCAAAGCTTGACAAAGACATCACTGTCTGTCCACTTAGATAGGATTCCTCGTAAAGTGGAAAGAATGTTCACAGCCAACGGGGAAAGAGGAATAACCCAGCATGAGAACTCCCTTTCTAGCCAAAGAGTGTTACTCTTGAGGTCGCCCGAGGCTGCCCTGCGCTGCCCACTCGTCACCGCCGACTTCCCTCTTCAATAAATATTTGCATCCCGAGCCATAACTCCACCGCACTGCCTGAGGCGAGCGAACGTCCGTCTCTCCCCCTCGACGGGAAGTAAGGGGCTGAACGCTTCCGGGGCCGGACTCAGCTCGAGCATCCTCCAGATTCGCTACTACTCCGTCAGAAGGAGGAGCTAATCAGTTGGGACAGTGTGTCGGTTAGATGATGGATACTCTCTCTCCCCCTCTCTCTCAAACTCGACGATCCATGTTGAAGAGACAAGTGACCAACATTCTGGAGCTCGTCATGATATGTTGGAATTTCTATCCGCAAAAGCTTTGAAGATAATATATGCCGGAAGACATGAGGGATCCCAGAGGCGAGAAGTGGCAGAGTAGGGCAGAGCAGAGGCGAGCAGACGAGACGACAGGCACTGTGAAGGAAGGGAAGATACTCCGGAGAGTACATGTCCTAAAGCAAAGCTCTACAGTTATAAAATGATGGGACCCGTCGCGGAAGATGAGATGATCTTGGTCGGCCATGACAACGGCCCAATAATATAAAAATCATTAATCTTTGGAAGGAGGGGAGGAGGGGGAGGACGGGGAGGGGGGCGTTCTATTATTGTCCTCAAGTTAGGATCAAGTTAGGGATCTTTGTTCTCGAACTCTAATTAAGCCGCCCACCGCCGTGTCCTAAAGCAAAGTCGGGCGTTGAGGCGTTTTGTCGGAAAGCATCTCCCCGCTCGCGATTATATTTGGGCCCTGGACCCGGACCCCTGCACGTCCAGACGAAGCTGCCGGTGCCGGTCATCCGGTTATCCTCTCGTCATCATCTCATACTTTCATACTCTCCTCGCAAGACTAGCCGGTTACGTAGTCATGGTCACGTAGCCGGCTAATTGATACAAACGGCGAGTCGGCTAGGGCTCAAATTTAGCCGGCTAGCCGTCGGCTAATCGACTTTTGTCCGAAAACGAAATCTGCCGAAATATTAGGCCGAAATAGTGGTTTACGGTATAATTTCGGCTGAATTTCCCGAAATAATCGGTCGAAAATTCCGACTCGGTTCCGCGTTTTCGGATCGGTTTTCGGTCTCGGATAGCGGTGATATTGCCACCGCAGAGGAGCCGACGGCTAGCCGGCTGTATAACCGGCTAGCCGTTAGCCGAGACGGGAGTATCCCTATGGTTACGGAAGCAACGACCTCTCCCCGGGGGTCGAGGTTTGCATGGGAGCTTCGAAAGACTATTATGGGCTCGAACCCAAGGACGAGGGAGGGAGGGAGGCGAGTTAGAGTAATTAAAAAATGGAATTCGTCGAATGGATGGATTAGGGATCACTCATGGAGATTTGTTTGCACTCGATGGTGGGGGGGGACTGGCCACGGGCGAGAATAATAATCTAGCGCAGAGCTAGACGTAGAAGGGGCTTCACCCACCTTCGCTTTAGCGATTGAAGGCGGGCAGCGGGGGTTCTAAATGAACTCGAGTCACGCCGGGGTGAGGGTTTGTGCGGGCATGATGGTAATGATAGCGGCAACTGACTGACCCGAGGCCAGGCCGAGATCGACTTATGATGGAATGAAGGTCCATCATGAAATGGTCTCACATGTTTCCTGGATTGCTAACATACTTGACGCAGCCGGGGCCTGTAGTCCTTCCTTTCGCCAACCAGTGGATCATACCGAGGTAGTAAAAGGACATATGTCACCTTTAGTCACAAGGGGAGAGCTCGGGCCTGCCCCACCCTTCTTAATTCCCCGTTCCCGCTATATATAGAGCTGCAAAAGGCGTAGCTCATTGCTCATCGCCTTGTCGCATTTACGACCCACGTTGTAAATGCGAAAAAGTCCTGCGCGGGTTGCCTGGGAAGCTCTCGGGGATTCGGCAAATTCGTGCGTCGAGAAAAGGCCAAATCTCCCATTATTTATTGTGAGGCTCGGACCTGAGCACTGGCCTTCTGATCGCTCGAGTACTGTCTGGAAATTGCGATGCGTTCGATCTTAATGCGAGCCTGCCGATCGATTGCCATGGCTCATGGGGCAAAACCTCTGTAATCAATTGATAGAAAGTAGTGGACGTGTGGCGGGGGTGGAGGACTGGAGGAGAGAAGCGAGTGCAAGAGAGAGAGACAGAGAGAGAGAAGCCTTTGTTCGTAGCTGTGTTGTAGGTCAGACGGAGCCGAATCCGCCGAGGCTGCCGATCTGAATCCAAGAGAGGCCCTGAATGATTGATTGCCCAGGACTCAGGGCTCAGGACTATGCGAGCAGAGCGAAACAATGTGACGAGAAACTTTGTGCAAATGACCTGTTGTGCAATCATGTCGTTCATGCTGATCTTCCATTCAACCAGAGCTCGAGTTCTAATCATGGCTCGCACTCGCTGTGCCCGAAGAAGACCGGACGTCTTTCGGACTCCGTCCATTTGCATCCTTCCTTCCGGAGATTAGCGTTCCAATGCGAATGGAGGATTCCATGGCCGATCGATGAGAGAGAGCTAACTGGCCTTTCTCACGTTCTACTGGCCTGACCGCTGGTGCTGAGTTGCCTCCAGGGTCGGGTCAGAACCCCACCTACCTCGACTCGGGTTATACTTCCCAAAATTCTACCGCTCATTATGGCTCGCTAATCGGGCGCATCGGTTGCCCATGTCATAATCCGCTCCGAGGTGTTGTTAGGCGTGGGGCAGCTGGCGCTGGCTGCGGGTCGGGTTACGTCACGTCGGGTTAGGTCGGCCCTCGAGATGGCTCACCTCTTTCTCGCTCGTCAATCATGCGAGACGGCTCGGAACCCCTGGACGGGGTTACACCGTTACACGCTTCGACACAGGTCAACCTGGATCGCCAGAACCAGGGTCAGTACAATCAATCAGGTTAAGTTTCCAAATTCTACGGGAGGTCATGAGTGGCCTAAGCAGGCCCGAGGGATCCTCGTCCTGCCCATTGATTTGTTCCCGAATGGAACTTCTTTCTGGTACAACCCGAACCTTAAGTGCTGGCAGCGCTGCGGGCTGTACCGTAGGCCGCAGCTCGAACGCCGTCTAACCCTAGCGGTGGTACGAGCAGGTCCGGGTCGCCGGGATGGAACGGTACAGTACACGGCGAGAGGATCTATAGGAGCAGCGACATCCGCCCGGCCGGCCTCGGCAAATCCCAAACCCTATCTTTTCGAGACTTTCCCAGCGCCGTTAAGTCCAACCTAAAGAGAGGATCCTGCGGGATGGAGCGGCCGCCGTGATCACGTCAGAGCACGCCGGCGGTGGGACTGGTCCCACCGCCTGCAGGTGGTGTCTAACGTCGGAAGCCCTGGAAAGAACTACGAAGGCAGCGGACCATGCTGCCCGCCTGCAGTAGTTAGGGCTGGAGCGAGCGAGCCGACCGCGGGCCTCAGCGTGTGACATGGGGATGATCTGGAGAGCGGGCTAAATTTATCCGGGCTCCGTAACCATCTCGACCTGCCCTGGAGCCTCGAAGATGTCGGCCGGTAACTTCCACTTACCGGCGCCACCACCGCTCGTAGCTGCTCTCCTCGTTCTCTCTTTCTCTCTCTGTTGGGCTCTGCCTCGCCTTTCCTTGCCCTCCCTGGCCTGTCGTGACCGCCGGTCGCAACCCAGTGGGACCCCCCGGGCTGCTGCTGCTGCTGCAGCAGGACGAGACCTGGAGATCTCATGGCATGCATGGATATGATCATCATGCACCATGAGAAGAACAGCTGGCCCACCAGGACCCCTGCTCCGCTCCCCAGCCCTCTGGCCTGCGACCCAGCCAGCTCCCCACCCATGAGCGGCGACGATCCCATGGCATGGAGAACACCCCTACGACCGCCCGCGCATCGTCGCCCGGAAGAGCTACACCACTGGCCGGCCGGCAGCCTGGCTGGCTGACTGCCTGTCCGGCTGACCGGCTCAGCTGCAGCAGGGGAGATACGTGCCGTCTCGACACGTGGCTCCGTAACGGAGATCGCACAGTCGCAATATGTCCGTCTGTCCCATCCAACATACCGCGACCACCGTGGTCTGTCTGTGTCTGTCTGCGCTCCGACGATCGACCAGATATGCTCGGGAACGACGCGGTTTCGGGCGTATAAACAAACGATGGATTTCGCTGCCGGGAAATATCACTTCCCTCGGCCTCGGTCTCGGTCTCGGAGTTCGGGCCTTTGTCGTCTCCCGGAGATTTTCAGTTCCCGCACCAGGGCCACCACGACGATTCCGACCAACCACGTTCCCGCATGAGAATCGTCTAATGCGTAGCCGTGGTATGGGCCTTCACATCAGCTAAACCGCTTCGGGCGACGTCGATCTCCACTCGGGCGACCGCAGTCCGTTATTTATTGGATGGTGACGGTGCGAGCCGGGAATGTGCGACCTTGTCGTTCTCGGGACACAGAGAGAAAGAGAGAGAGAGATGTCAAAGCAAAAGGGCACCGTCTCGGAAGTCGAGGGAAGAAAGGCTCGCGAAGGGATGGGATGGGAGGGGAGGGGAGGCATTGGCATGTTGGTTGCCCACAGAAACGCGGGGGGCGACGGCCCCACTCCACCCCACGCACGTCCGTCGGCTCGAAACTTGCGACGGTTTGTTTGTATGCGGATTTAATAGAAGCGGAGTTAGTTGCAAGAATGTTTGTCGCTTAGAAACCCTCGCACCCGCCTAACTTGCATCATCATGCCACGTCACATGATGACCTCTGCCTACCTCCTCGCCTTCGCCCATCCCAGCATGACATGACGAGGCAGGCGCGGATCTTCTTCCGCCGAACCGACGGACGGATCGAGGGATGGATGGATGTCCTGCCTCTCTCCCGCAGGTCCTGCCGTCGGAAGCCCGGTCTGGCAGTCGGTGAGGTGAGTCCATGACCCGGCCTGACCGTGAGTTCGGAGTTCAGACTCCAGACTCCGCAGTTCGAACCCACGGTTGACGCGGACTCCGGACTCGGTTGGGTGTCGTGTTGGTTCATGGTGTGCACCTGGTCGATGGATTTCGTCACCAGTCCAGTTCCGGGCTCTCGGTGTGTCTGCTGAGTCTGGAACTCATGCACGTTACGAAGGAGTCCGGGCTGAACGGGGCGTCAGATACCGCGCAGTCGGTCTCAGAGTATGAATGGCAGGTTCTTCTGCAGCGGAACCAGGCTTCTGACAGAGCCCAGGGTTATATCCACGTTGAGAGTTGCAAAATCCGAAGCGATCCGAGCGAGTGCTAGTGAATATGTTTGTACAGGAATAGATGGTCCAAATTTCGTCACGTGAGTAATTGTATCAGCTCTTAGAAAAGCCTGCATCAGCAGCAGAGAGAAAAGCTCTTCCTTCATGCGGGGTGGCACTCTCGGATGCTTGTAACTTTGCCACAAATGAACGGGCGCCCCTTTATTCCCTGAACACATATCTTCAGAAGCCGGAAGCGTCTGCGAAGTAAATTTCCGCCTCTTTGGACAGGCCTGCCCTTTCAGATAAAGAGCTGATCTGGAGAGCAGCCAGTGCACTAACTCCGGTACAACGGGGTTCGTCCCTCGTCGCATTCCGGAAAGATTCTTCCGTTGGAAGCAGTCGGAGCTCGCATGGAGAGCGGATGTAGTCCCATATCGGCAAAAGCGGAGGGAATGGCATTCGAGCTGGTGAGGATCAGAGATGACGAGAAGCATCACAGCATTATTTGGCATACTTACCGCAATCTCACACATAGAGGGCTCGTTCATGATGATGTCAGGTCGAGTGGGACATCGACTGGTGACGGTGAAAAAGGTGGACTTTCGTCCAGTGCAGGTGAGGGACTGTGTATCTCGACTCGCTTTGTATGAACATGTAGAAAAGTTAAGTGCCATATGTCAGCAGAGTGCCGATCTTTTGGTGCAATTACCTTGAGTACATGTGAGAAGGGTTGCCGATACGCTCTGACATCTAACATTTAGAGACGGGGTGTCAGGGAGTGGGAGATCTTAAGGGTGAGCCCTGCGACGGGAAGGAAAGGCGGAGTTACCTTCAGTACATAGGACCTGTACAGATTTTGTTGCGAACCGACCTAGGGAATCAGAATGAAAGCTGGGAGAAGCGTTGGATGGCTGGGACGAACGGCGAGATAGGACACAAGTCCCTAGGGGCACAGGCAAACTTTCTTTACATGCAGCTCTCACTGGACGATGACAAGATAGACGCTTACTTTTGCTTCGCTCTGCTTTCTTTCTAGAAGTCTAGGGAAGAGGGGCATGGAAAGTGGATGTGGTTTGATGTGGTGGGGATGGGCTGCCAAAAGGGAAAAAGTTATTCTCTTTGTCAAAATATGACCCCTCCGCCCCCCACCCTTCTCCCTTCCTCCCAACTTTCAAGCGGCTTTGGGCTCCTGACAACCAACGTAGTCTGCCAGTCAGTCTGTTGTCAGCAGCAACAAAATATCATCCACTTCCTTCGCCCTTCCCTTCTCTCGCCCTCCAACCCCACTTGGACTTATGTTTATGTTCCTTCCTATCGACCTTCTCTCGTTTCATTCTTTCCTCTTTAGCAGCTCCAGCACGTGGAGAATTTCTTTGAAGCATTTGACCCTCCCTCTCTCGGCCTCTCTCTATCCTCCCTCCCGCTTGGTTGTTACAGAGGGGCCCTATCACTGAATCTATGTATCCATCTATCTATGGTAGGCATCGGCAGGAGCAGGTGGCAATAGAGAGAATAACACTAGCACTACCCCCTCTCTCCTCGCATGGATTACAATCATCCAAGCGAGAGATGTTGGTTGGTTGGATCGCTCTTCGCCTTTATTCTGTAACCGTTTTCTTACCCTTGCTTCATTCGCTCTGGTGAATCCAGGTGAAATACTCAGCATGGATGCCCAGAGATGGGTACGGGTCTTCCCATCCTTGTTGCTACATATTTCTCGGTGCTGTGCTCGATGGATGGGTACGGGAGTCCGGGACCGAGAGACTTTCGAAGAAAACACAAGGCAATGTTGTGCAAAGCAATGCAAGGCATGATGAAGTGGATGTATCCAGTCTTAGTAAAGTCACGTGTTTTCTTATCTGCATCTTCTTCACTCTACGAGACGAAACCAGGCTTACTATCCCTTCGTGAATGAATCCTTCGTCCGTGCATCCATGTGCATTTATAGCACATCGGCTAGGCTGTTGAACCTTTCCACTTATGGTTGTACAGTGGTTTGTCACCCCGCCCCACCCCCACCTTCTGTATCTACATGTCGCTTTTGACAGACTTTAAGTCTCGCCATCCTTTCTCAAAGCACACATTCTCTGTAAGTTGGTCCCTTCCTCCGTCCGTCTAATTTCCCCGGCAATCCGGTTCCACATCCAAGGGCACTTCGATTTACAGCCCTTGTTTCCTCGTCTTGTCAGAATGGTGACGACCTTCGGCTGCTCTCTACACCGAGACTCATCGAACACCGCACCTTCATGAGCTCTCGTGCCCTCTCCTCTGTTAGACTATCATTATCATTGGGCTTCTATCTATACACCAGATGAAAGTACCTGCATTCGAAACTGGCACCCTCCCTGATTATATCCGCACAAAGGCATATGGGGACAAGCTTCGAGCGGCTTTTGGACTTTGGACAGATAAATCTATGGTTCGTATGAAAGGAAATAGCTCTTTGTGTGTAACACCCTCTGATTGAAGCAAACTCTCCAACATCTTCCAGCAAGAACATCGACCATTACAAAGTGAAGGAACTTGATGGCAGTATCCACTTTTTCTCCTCTTTTCTAGACGAGAGAGGAAGACGGAAATTAAGAATGTTCGACATACACCAAATCTGTTTGAAGCAAGTACGCTCTGACTCCTACTTATCATCCCTTACTTTGGAGCAAACTGATTCTGCAACACTACCACAATCTTTCATCTGACACCATCGATATCTTCTTCGGATTCAAGGCAGAATGCTGCTGCTTTAAGCATTGCTACAGTTTTGAGTTCTGTTGAGGTAAGTATTATTATTATCCATCTAATGACGTGGTGGGAAAATCCTTGTTTCGACATTTCGGTTTCTCAGGCAAGTACAGTAGCATGGCTGCATAATTGGTAAAGTGATACTCGTGCATCGATATTTTAACTTACTCATCATTTTATTCTGGACAGTTATAAGAATGTTTCCTGTTAGAATCTTTGATGAAAGGTTCATCGGAAAAGAGATTTCTTTCGTAATAGATGCCTCACAAATCCTGCAATAATGCGCATCTTCTTATTGAACATCATGTGGACAGGAAATACTGGCCAGCTTCTTTAAGCAATATTCATCAGCATCACATGGAACAAACCACTTCTCGATTCAGAGTATGACTTCAACGTCATAAAGAGTTAAGATAGAAGTTAATTTCAAACGATATGATGTAGCAAACTCGTCCTTCTTGTGTAAGTGTCGTACTTTTGGGTTCACGCGGTGCGTGGTGTATGACGAGGAGGAGATGTAGAAGACCCCACTGTGGCAGGCAGGAAGAATATGGATATCACAAACGGGAGGAGGAAAGAAAGATAAGAGCATATCAACGCTGACTGAGGCTCTCCACGTATCCTCGCGCACATTCACTTGCATCCATCCACATTGTTACATTCCAGACGTAGTTACATACCGAGTTTGGTAGAGAAAAAATAATAATAACGACGACGAAAGTTGATTGAGCATGTGTAGCTCGAAGACCGGAAGTTACTCAGACCATGACCACAAAATTACGAATAACACGTTTGTGAAAAATACGGTAATGCTGATGTGGAGCCTCTTAAGGCAGAGTGAGCAGGCAAGGGATTTGCTTAATGATAATCAACTGTTGTCAATTCTCGTACAGCTGGGACATAGCCTGCCACCAGTACAATTACGATAATGGAAAGGGTCTGTCTGGGCAGTATCCGACTTCCCATTCTTCGATAGAGATCTTTCTTTTGATCTTTCTCTCTCTCTCTCGTTTTCTCTCTCAAGTTCGTTCGTATGAATGGAATCTCGGCCCACTACAAGAGTCAGATCGATTCGCTTGACTAGAAAGAAGAAGCAGACAAAGAGCAAACAATCAAGTCAAAGCGGTTTGACTGATGATGTCAAAGTGGTCATCCATGTTTATGTTGTTTTCAGTGGTCCAAGAATTTGGGGGAAGCGAAGGGATGATCTTCATCTATTGCAGATTTAAGGTGCAAGATATGTAAAATCTCTCGGAAACGACGTCTCGTTTGTTCCTTTTCAAAGGTACGAAAAAGAGGTTTTAATGTTTGTGCCTCCTTTTCTTGGGTAGTAGATTGAATGTGGGTTGTTACGAGGACAACGGACATCAAACCGAAGTCTAGTGGCATCAACTTGCTTACCATCGATTCCACAACATATATTAACTTAGTTTACTGCAGCGAGAAGGTAAGTAATATCATAATGAGGACCTCGGGTTCTCGACCATTCGTTTCAACCAAGGAAGACAAGCAGCGTACAATAAATACCTTTTTTTGTTAGCGATAAGACAAAAAGAGTACTCGACACGATCACAATTCCATAGACAAGCGTCTCACCCAACGACTAGAGGCTCTACTTTGTTTGCTATGCATATTTCAGTTATTCCTTTAACATAAGCACCTTTTCCCAGCCTTTTCTGTTCTTCTCTAGAGCTATCTATCTATCTATCTATCTTCGTGCTTTCCCACAGGTCAAAGGGGGTTCCTATAAAAATATGCTCCTCATCACAACCTTATGATGATACTAGTGTTAAACCCTTGGGTTTGTGGCACTTGAACAGGATCCAGGATCCGCGTAGGTCTATTTGTGGCACGAGCAAAATGTGCTTCCGTCTCGCAACAAAGAGCTTGAATCCCGAACGGTATTTCTTCCATATCTAATGCTTGGGAAATCTGGGGAGAGGGTATGAACTATTCGTACCGGTTTGAACAGCTCCCTTTGAATCTTGGAATTATCACTGAAGTCATGTTAGGAGAATGAAGAAGTAGAGCATGTTGGACAATCATACACCTACTGTTGTTGCTGCCCAAATCCAAAATCAACTCAATCATAAGAGTGTGAAAGATCTCGGGTAGCTTCATGCCAACATTTCGAACAAACCGACCGGAGTCGCTTTACTTTGTTTCTGCTTTGGGCAGCGAGGAGGAGGAGGCAAGGGAAAAGTCCATGCGATCCCCCTACACCTGTTTTCTCTAGCAAACCACCCAATCTAGAGAGTGCATTACTCATTACCGGGTAAACTCTCTCCAATACATGTCAAAATAGGTTTAGCTCGGCCTGTCTAATGCATTCAGTTTTTCTGATCTGGAAGAACTGATGTAGCTTTCTTAGATCATTGGACCAGAAGATTCATGCCCAGCTGTAGGCATGAGCAGTCCATCCGACAACCACTTTCATCTGAAGCTTCGATTGATTTCAGATTGAAATTCGGTGAAATTCTTATCAAGATTTCCGTGTTACGCGGAAGGAATACCGTAAAGTTGTTGGGCAGAGGGCGTCGGGAATATACAAATGTTATGTGCCCTGCTAAGGGGATGGATTGTTTACAGCACTCACAGATTCAGGCTCTTCTGCCCGAGGTGTCTCGCTGCACATGCCTCAAGCCAATTCCTTCAGAAACTTTCCACTCTTCACTCGGTCCTCGTGAGTGGAAGAGGTCAAGCCCATCGATCTCGTGAGCTGCAAGAGGGAACCCATTGGCAATTAGCAAGTCGCTTGGATAATGCACAGAAACTAACCCCAAGCTACTTCCCCGTGGAAGGTGGACGCACTTTCTAGCTCACAGTGACACTTGCAACAAGCAAGCTCAACACCACAATGAAAAGAGATAAAGGAGACTCGTGAATAAATAGGGTGGCAAATCAGAAAAATAAAATAGAAAAGAAAAGCCAGTGAAACATTAAGGTGTAAAGGGCACCAATGAAAGATGATGAAGAATTAAATAGTGATGAATAATAAATATTATAATATCTACACCATCCGAACTATGTAATTCGAATATTCATAAACGACCGAAAAATATGATGATCATCACTTAAACTTTGACGTCATCAAACATTTGAAAAAAATACATGAATGAAAAAATAAAAATACATTATCTAAAAGAATCTAAAAACTCCTTCAAAACATGACAATGAGATATACATGTTAACAATGTGAAATACATGTTCAATGGAACTTTTCGGTAGCCTCTCAACTAAGGGTTGGGTCGACGAAAACCGGCAGGCACCTTAAACGGGACAGTTCCGTCGGAGGTACGGACGGCGGGTAAAACTTACGTCCGTGGCCAAAAACACGTCCGTCCTCATGGGCGCTCGGAGCGAAAAGTCGTCAACTCGGCTTGAGAAACGGGGAACTGTGGACATGGAACTGTGGAGATGAAACCGTTGCCAGCGTTTCCAAAAGGCGGGACGGGATCCTCGGCTCACGCACTCGCGCACGCAATCGGCATTAGGTGCTGAGCGCGGCCGGACCCACCTCGGGAGCCTCCTTTTACGTCCTACTGGGTAAGGCGTTTGCGTCAACCCGGTCAACTTTTCTTCCAATCGGTTGCCTTTCCGCGATGCAAGCCCGCAACTTTCCGGGCCCAGCGGAACAGCTTCCCTCTTCTATTGTTTGTTTTCGGCATCTCAACCTTCGGCCTGCACCGATTTGTGAAACACAAGCAAACAGCACCCCCCACCTCCCCCCACAGAAGAAACCTCGGGAAAAAGGCCCACCGGAAGATGGATCATATACCCCGAAAATGCTCAACAATACATCAAAGAAGATGCTGAATGAGGACGTGGCAAGCTCGCTTTTCGCCATACGAGTGGAGACAGGTGGACCTGCGGGCGAGGATTGACCCGACCCGGGGAAACGACGGAGCCCGATGCCCTTCGGTCCTCCGGAATCCGAACACGGTCACGAGGCTGCTTTCCTCTCCGATGCACGGAGTCCCGTCCCGTCCCGCCCTCCAGTTGATTCCACTGTGCCTCGCCTTTGTACATGTTCACCATGTGACCTTGCAATATCCGCACCCCTCCTCCACTTGGGGCGGTCCTGGGACATTCGCTTTCCCACCCTTCTCCGCTGCGCCGTACCGAGCACCACGTCACGCTCGCCCCCACCCGAGTTCGAACCCGGGTTAATCCATCCCCCAGTCCCTCGAGTCCCTGATTACCCGGAAGGAGGGAGATGCCACTTGGGACGCGGCAGGTACGACGAAGCGTATATGGAGAAAGCGGCCGGGCGCATTTACTTAACCGGGCCCCAAAACTGGAAGGCTCATCCGATGCCCCGTCGCGGGCCCCATCGTTAGTTGGAGTAACTATGGTCGAGTCAGTGGAATCCAGCACGTCGAAGGCCAGTGTACTGCATTGCACTGTCTGGTGTCGTGCGCCTTCTGCTCGAAATCGGCCGCTCGCGGTGACCCTTGACCAGACAGGCTGGTTGGGTCACATTCGAGGTACTATGGTTTGGTGAACTACTCCACGAGGGTGTCTTCTAAATCATGTGGAGGCGCCGGAGTCCGGACTCCTATAGAACCACAGTGTTCGGCCATGTGGCCTTCGATTAATC